AACTGAGGGCCTAGGGAGGACAGGGAAACAAAAAGGTTTAATTCAAGGTACTAGCATTCAAGGTGTCGCTAATATTTGAAGTCCGAGGCTGACGGCCTGAATATAAGTACAACGATTACCGGCCTCCCGAAGAAAGTGTGTGAAATTACGCTGATTATAGATGATGGAACCAGACATCATCATGGACTTTCCGGCAGCCATGAGATATCTCGCACCAGATCGTCCCAAACGTTTCGTTTCTAACTGATTGTCTTCCTCGAACTCCTACCTAGCCGACAATCATGCTCCTCCACGGCTAGTGATACCATTGATAGTCTTACCTAGTAAGTCTCTACGTCTCATACCAGTAGTAGGTGGCTACTCGGACACTCGGAAATCAAGATCTATAGACTCCCGGAGGTGTGATGTTTCGATAAAGAGGAAACAAGTTGAAGAGTATCCGGGTATCTGGGAGCATTTGCCATGGTTCCGTATGAGATGAAACACTAACTATAGTGCGGACCATTGCATCATTCACGAGGACTACGTAAGGCCTATTGATCGCTTTCCTTCCGAAAGGGTGTCTCTTTGTTTTCTCTTTGTTTTCTCTTTGCTTTGATTGAACGGTAATACTTAACCTCGACTGACAGGTAATGCCAGCTAACTTGCTGTTATCATTCAGGTTGTACTACGCCAGTGAAGAATACTTCATTTGGAGGGAAGTCTGGATCACCCTCAGGAGTATTGCGGCTTGTAATTTTTTCCGCGACAAAAACCGCCCCAAAGTTCATTTGTCTCGGGATTCTATAGGATGGTAGATAGTTTCCCAGCATCCCGATGGTCTCCCACAACCTGCGGGCCTCCATTCCACAAGTATCATTGTGCTGATAAGCCCTGCTCCCTTCGTTACCGCGCCGTAGTTACGGCCTTTTCGCTTCATAACTGGCAGCTCTGTTAGTGTGGAGATGTTAACGATGGCCAGCGCCATCAATCACTACTGACCGTAAACTAGTACCAAGTATCTCCGTCAGCATTCCTCCGGGACACACAAGACCCCAGATGGCCAACATACCTCTCATGCCTGACATTTTGGAGACACTTCGAAAAAAAAAAGCTCATTTGCATGAGTTTTTCAGCCGTGTAAGCAGATTCTGCATCACACTCATCATTGTTGGATACCAGTACTTCACTGGTTAGATTCCACCTTTCTGACAACTCTGACCGCTTACATTTTCTGTTGCTAGGGCAACACTCTTCGGCCTACGTTTTGATCAACCTTGACCTCGAACTTGTGTAGATATGATCGTCAAGACCGGCCAATCATTTCTGTTATTAAAAATCTTGTACCCTCACACAGAGAACGATCGACTTACCATCCCGATAAACAACAATTCATAAGTCTTGAAGTTCCACCGATCCGATCCGTCCCAAGGAGCTTGCATGAGCGAGAGACAAGACAAAAACTTCCATCGTTTTACAGGCTCTATACCCAGGAATTGCCATCAATATAAAACTAGCTTTAGTGACCTTAAATTCTGTAAAACCATTGGAAGAAGGGTGTCCACGAACCGGTGTCATAGATCATCAATACAATCCAGCACAGATAAATATCCTTGTTCTCCACCACAACGAAACATCTTATAGGAGTTGAGCCGAACCGGGATTATAGAGCAGACATCAGAGGAACATGAGTAAGTGTTTCTAATGATAGAAGCAGACTTTGAATTTCCCGTTCAAAACTTCTGAGAAAGATTATTGCCGGAGCCACACAGCTCGGTTAATATTATTGCCATTATGGATTTCCTTCCCGAAACAGCCCATATTCGCAATCCAAGGATGACTACTCATGGAGCATAAGACAACTTTCACACGTGAGCAAGTCCACTTGACGTACTTTCCGACAGCACGATCCCCCACAAGTGAACACCCTGTATTATCAGCATATCGAAGCATGGGCCAAAAGGTCGTACATATGGTTATTGAGTACGCAGTCGCGCATGCGTGCGAATCCGGCGCAACCTGCAGAACTGTTGAATGATTGAAACTGGAGAAAGAACCATAAGAGTGAATTAGAGCTGACTATACTGATTCACGATGACCTGATCTAAAAGGGGCAGCTATCTTTGTGTAAGGTATACGATATTGAATAGCATCGTCCTCATTGGCCGGTCTCGACGATATAGGGATGTCCATATGTACCTGACTTCGAGGTCGAAATTGATCAAAACGTCGTAGGCGCAAAGCGTTCCCCCAACAATTGGATAGGTAAGCGGTGAGGTTCGTTGCGAGTAGTGATATCTGTCAGGTCATCGTACCGGCGGAGTACTAGTAATGAATGATGAGTCGGATGGCCTAGTGAAGAATACCGCTCACCAACTCACCCGAACCAACGTTTCTGCCTCAAGTGCCAAAATGTGAGGTACGTTTGGTGACAGGCCGGCCATTTGCATCCTTCTGGGTGTTATGTGAGGGCCGAGGGAATTCAGAAACAAATGCTAGATTATTGAGGGCGCCGCCAACAATAAATGATTCGCAATCCTTGTTCTATGGAAGTTGTGAAAGGAGACTGGTAGTTTTGCAGCGAAAAGGGCGGAAGCTATGGCGAAAAAGATAATGATTAACATGGTGATGGTCTGGATCCGTATCGACTTTTGAATCGCGTGGTGGCCTTTGGCACGGGGGTTTTAGTCTGCTTCACATATCTTCATATGTGCTCCCTATCCAGAAGATAATGCTATCCGTTGTTTCCACCGAATTTATCGAGTAAATTTACTAGTATAAGCCTCAGCGTTTTTTCATACGCCCGATCTACTTGGCCGCCATCCATGGCCCACCGACTCTCTTCTGCTCCTTTTCTCTCGTGGTCCAGTTCAGGTTGGCGTCAAAAATACAAGTCCACCAGCCTTTCATATCGGATCATGGTAGGGGAGTGATCCGTACGTTTCCCTGCCACAAATGTGTTTCCATGGAAGGATTTCGCTGAGTTTAGGACGGCTCTTCGCAGATAAGGGAGGGAGTAAGAACGACTGGAATGTAGGTAACACGACGAGATCGAAATCGCCAGTACTAGTACCAGGATTTTTTTAATCATCCGGGATCCCATCAAGATGGGGGAAGCGAGCTGTATTCTTCCAGGAGGTGTATCACGGGGTAAAATTCCTCCCTTTGTGCACTAGGATACTTACATAGACCCGGCGTTCAATCCGCAGACCGTGGCGTGTAATATCCTCCTCCCAGTATTTTAATGGACCCAATCCATAAGCCAGAAAAGCATTAGATCTCGCATTTGCAGCCTTTGCAGCGTTATGAGTCAAAGGCGCCCGTAGGCTACTTAGCGGCTAGTCGGGGCGTCAGAAAGGGTTGATCCGTCCGTGCTACCCAAAAAAAAGCGTTTAAGGTTTGGGAGTGCGCGCGTACCAGTTATCCGATCTCGAGTCATCCTGGGTCACAAGTTCGAGTCACCACTTTGACATTTTCGGGCGTTGCTTTGGCCTTCTCGCCCTTCAAACTACCCTTTTTGGCCAACGAAGGTTACGTGTGAATTCCGCCAATGAATCTAGCTAGCTAAGAACCGTAGTCCAAGTCACTACAAGATTTCCTGGATCTTCCACGGTGCCGACTGAGGAACTTGACCAATAATTTCATCAGAATGGCCGATTATTGCGGGATGTCCAACGTCGGAGCAACTTGAACCTGAACAATTAAGTAGTGGGCATCGGTCAAACATAGTCGGACTCAGCTAGTTCAAACTTCTGAAACGAAACTTGTCCTCAGTGCCAATCCGTAATTACTATTTCACGGGCGACCGCTGGGTCCTGGAAATTTATATTCAGATCGTATTGGCGCCGTTGTAAGTAAGGGTGTCAAATAACGCTGCTTTCTTAGCCGTGGTATTCTTCAGAGTCAGACAAGCGATGTCAGTGGGTACCAGAATGGTAGCCTTTACGTTGTATACACACATTTTATCGTGTGCTACCCCCCGCAGTAAAGAAAAATAAGTTAAGGGCTCGGGGGACGCGCGTACCAGGATCCCGTTAGGAGTTTGATATTATTGGGTGATCGTTTGTGGTCCTTGCTTTGGTTGAAGATTACGTGTGAATTTCACCTATGAATCCAGCTAGCTGAGAACCATACTCAAGTTCGCTACAAGAATTCCCTGGGTTTTCCGCGACGCCGACTCAGGAAAAATGGAAGGCTGATGATTTCATCGGAAATGGCCGATTTCAGCGGGACGACTGGTGAGCCCGAGTACTTAACTGGCCATCGTCGGTCAAACATAGAGGGACCGATACCACAGCTAGTCCAAACTTCTGAAACGGAAGCCCCTGTTCAGACTGCCATTCGGAATTATCTTCACGCCGACCGCTGGGTCCCGGGAATCTGTATGTGCTGTGAGTAAGGGCACCTGCCTTTTCAACCTTAGCATCATTTCAAACAAGTAATGTCCGACGTGAATAGAATCATAGCCTCTATGTCTATACTTACACCACTGATTTACCGCAACTTTGGAGATTGAGTTGTAGCAAAACATGGTAGCATGGGCAATGCAATTTCAAACCGAACAAAGGACACGGTGTCGTAGAGTAAACTATTCTATTCGAGAGGTGCGAGGGGGCTCATGATCAGTCGGGCAAATCGTAGAGCAAAAGTATGTACCCGGAGCCGCGACAATGGAGGAAGAATGAAAAAGGCGAGATGGATGACACTTAGCTCGGGCGACGAGGGGGAGTGGAGGCTCAAGCGCTCAAGGTCAGCGTCAGAGAGCAGATGGGGGAAAGGAAGCAAGGTGGACTCGTTGACCAGCGAAACGGGCAAAAAATTGAAGCTCCCAAGTTCTTATGACAGGTGGTCCGTGCACAAAAAGTGGAACCGAAAAAGATTAACCTATCATTCCATAGAGTTGAAGATTCGACTCGTCCCTCATCGGAAAAACAAATATAATCAAACGAAAGTGATGGACTTATTGGCAGGGGAGAACAGAAAAAGTTAAAAAAAGAAAAAGATTAGTCAATTCTAGGCCGTGATTCGACCCAGGCTCGAACTGGGGACCTTCTGTGCAGCAACAGGAATGATAAGGCATTCACGTTATGTTAGACAGATGCGATAACCAACTACGCCATCGAACCATTATTTACCTCATTATCACAGCAGTACCCATAGCTGTCTAGAGGACAGGGATCTCGCTGACGCAAAAACACACAGCTGGCAGTGAATGCTATTTGAGGTCAAAATAGCGGCCTAGAAATATGATACCATACTTTTCCCAACACAAAAAACAACTTAAATGCTGCTGGAAAATAGATTACATGCTAGTAAGATATTTGGGCAGTTCTCTGCTGCTAAAAGTATCAAATACTTGGCTGTAAAACACACTACATATACTCAAAAATGAGTCCAAAAGGGCAAAATAATTGGAAGCATCCAGGAAATACTCCAGCATCCTAAACATGGTATATGCTTGGACGGTTATCCATTTGAATATTTCTAGTCCCTGTTGAAAATATTTCATCTATTTCAGTAAGGCCTGTTTAAGTGCAACCACAGCAGGTAATACTTAAAGTAACAGAAATTTAGGGTATTTTGAACTGAGATCAGAAATATTGAATAACTGTCCAAGTATATACCATGTTTAGGATGCTGGAGTATTTCCTGGATGCTTCCAATTATTTTGCCCTTTTGGACTCATTTTTGAGTATATGTAGTGTGTTTTACAGCCAAGTATTTGATACTTTTAGCAGCAGAGAACTACCCAAATATCTTACTAGCTTGTAATCTATTTTCCAGCAGAATTTAAGTTGTTTTTTGTGTTGGGAAAAGTATGGCATCATATTTCCAGGCCACTATTTTGACCCCAAATAGCATTCACCACCAGCTGTGACAAACAAAAAAGAATAAGAAGGTCGTAAATCTTCCAGTCCATGAACATTTGCCCTTGTCAATAACTGGATTCGGAAACCCTTGGTACCACTCTCATCTCATCTGATGTTTAGACGTACGATCCATGAAACCATGGAGTAGCACCTCGTCGTTGAGTAACAAGCCAACGTACCACTATACAGCCGCCCTGTCAATAATCTGATTAATTGAATCATCCCGGAATCATTATGGGAAGGCAGGTAATTCGCTCGTTCGACGTTGACGCGGTACGGTTCCCAACTTTCAGAACGTCCTAGTAACATGATAAAATGATAACTTCACCGTTCTAACGTACACTAATATACGCAAAACACACGTACTTGATCATCTTTGAAGCCCGCTGATGACTGCATATGCATTTAACAAATTTCCCATACTCCGTCAACCGAGAGAAAACAAGGGTGATCATCACGAGAAACCTAGGGGTTTTGTACTTGAAGGCCAACTTTGTACGGGTAAAACACGCACTTCGGAAACGAAGAATTATCAACGAAAAAAGGAAAAAAGAGATATCATCAGTCGCTGTGTTGGTGGTTGGACAACGGACGTTATCGAAACCTTCGAAACCGTTGGCTGTGTAGTTATCGTCGGTCGATACCATGAACCAGACCAACTCAGACTTCCAAACCGAAGTTTGTCCTCACGGAATTATTTCATACCGACTCGCCGCCGTTAGGTACTAGAAATTTGTGTTCACCATCGTATTTGGCGCCGTTGTAAACGGTAAGTTAAGCAACCCTGCTTTTCTTTGTTAGCCGTGGTATTTTTCAGGGTCAAACATGTGGTGCCGTGGATATTGGAACGATAGCACTCATGTTCTGTACACACAATTTACCGCGTGCTACCCCCGTAGCAAAGGAAATTAAAAGTTAACGCTTGGGAGGTACGCGCGTACCAGTAGCTACTAACTGACCACGATCTTGAGTCATCTTCGAGGGTCACAAGTTTGATTAATTTCGGGAGGCCTTGCTTTGGCTTTTCGCCCTTCAAACTACCACTTTTTGGCCCCCCTTTTGGGCCAACGAAGGTTACGTGTGAATTTCACCTATGACTTCAGCTAGCTGAGAACACTATTCGAGGTTCGCTACAAGACTTCCTCGGGTTTTCCGAGATGGCCGACTCTGGAAAACTCGGAACTTGGCTGATGATTTCACTGAAATCGTGACCCGCAAAGTCGTCTGGGACCGATTTCAACGGAACATAGAAGGGTCGTGAACCTGAGTGTTTAACAAGTTATCGTCGGTCAAACATGGACGGACCCCATAGCGAGTCTAAGCTTCTGAAACGAACACTGCACTCCGGAATTTATCTCACGCCGACCATTTAAGTCCTGGAAATCTTGGTTTCAAATTCAAATTGCGTCGGCGCCATGGCTGTAAGCAAGGGCGTTAAGTAGCCCTGCTTTCTTAGCCTTGGTGTTTTAGAACCAAACAAGCGACGTTCGAGATGAATAGTAGAACCACAGCCTTTCTGTCTATCTATACACACGTCAAGTCGGAGGTACATAGTTGTAATGATACATGTAACTAAGTGATTGCAGTTTAAACCACACCAAGGACGGAAAATCTTACAAATACCAAGTCAACGCTGAAAGCGTGCCATAACGGGGTCGTGGCAAAACGATACAACACACAACGAAAGAAACTATTCGTCAGATGTTTTTGGGATCAAGGAAACTCTAACGTTGTTTGTGAGGTATAGACGCCAATGATTCGCCTAAAAGAATCGAACAAAGGTCGTGAACTTAATTATCAGTGCAACAGATAAAAAAGGGAAATGATTCGACCCAGGCTCGAACTGGGGACCTTCTGTGCAGCAACAGGAATGATCGGGCCAACATTTATGTTAGACAGATGCGATAACCAACTACGCCATCGAACCGTTGGGGTTATTAAAGTAATACACATATATAGTCTCGCTGCAAAGAGATGCCCACCTGTCATGAACGGCTTGCCCCTTGCCAATAGGTAATCGGATTTGAGTCCCTAGTTTTTTGAGCCTCCCGATGGTTTAGAACTTACGCGGGAAATGACAAACCAACACAGCCCTGTCAAAATAACAAGTTTCCGATCAAACCTCGACAGAACGTGATGACAGCAGATAGTTGGTGGTGGGCCCGTTCGAACAGTTGACGCGGTATGTACGGTTCCCAACTTTCTTTTTTTTTTTTTTTGATAAATCCGGATTATAATAGGAGAAAAAGATAAAGATAGATTCAACGTACTAACGTACTATGTTACTGTAGACGGGTATACGTAAAACTGAGACGCCTGGAGAACCGATGCGCAGTACAATTACTGTAATTACCTCGAGTTGATCATCTTAGAAGCCGTCGATGGGTTGCACATGCATATTTAACAAGTTTCCCATAGTCCGTCAAACGAGAGAACAAGGGTGATTACGAGAAAACGAGGGATTTATAGGCCGACGTACGGGTAAAACCATGTACTTCGGAAACGAAAAACGACTCGGAAAGGTTTTGGGCGCTCGGAAGAAGTGGATTGTAAGGCGAGCCAAATGTCAAGGGGAAAAGGGGAAAGAGCCAAATTCGAATGTCGGAGATGTATACCAAATATGCAAGTACATACTTACCTTGTTTAAGCTTTATTCAGTCCAAGGGGGAAGGGGGTGAAGAACGCTCTACCCATCATGCTGTCTGCCGGCTCACAAACTTGAAATTAGTGCAAAAACAAGCAGATTGAGGGACGAGTGTGTGTGTATGGGGTTCGGAGCGCGCTGAGGGACACGAACTCCTTAATAAACGAGAATGAAATTATGACAAGGGGGGGGGAGAGTTTGAACTCTAAACCGCAAATGTTCTGGTTTGAATGCGCCACTGACGGCACAAGTTGGCAGGGAGAATTAAAGTATAAGATGAAATCCTAATCATTTTCCTAACGTTAACCCCCTTGATGATTTCCCCTCAACTCAGGAGAGGCTGGAAGAACGGCTAAGGGCGCTCGGGTGATGAATCTTGAGAAGTTTTGGGTCGGCATTAACAGCTTTGTTTGAATAGATGATGCCTATGACTTTATATAGGCTACTCCGGCATGACGTCTTTCCGTCCTTGTTTTTTCAAGGTTATCCGAACCGAAGCCAACCGTGTCAATTCCTTCACGAGGTAATTCGTATTTCGACGTGTCCTTTCGGTAGTTCTTAGCCCTGAGACTCTCCCATGTGGCACGAGCCTTGTTCTCGGAAGCAGCAAGTACAAAGAAACTCCTCGAATCAGTACAAACCACAATGGTCTGCCGCGATATGTGAGAAGAACCATTCTGTTGTAATGTACGTAGCAAGGCAGGGCTTATTCTCGTCCGACATAAAATGGTTGGGAAAGTGGGCCTGTCGCCGATCAAGGAACATATTTTTCGTGGCATTCCCTGTTACGGTTCAGCAGGCCATCCATCATCTATCCCAAAGGATCAATTGATCAACTTTTTGGGTCAATTAGTAAATCATTACTTTGTTTGCTTGATACGGATTGTTGAGTGATTTTGCCCATGCCACGTCGCTCCTCCTGGTTCTATTGAGGGCGAGGTCGCGGAGACAGAAGAAGGATCGATATTAGCGCGAGAAAAAGGTTCAAAGCCCGTCGAGAAGTATCGGAAAAGCCGGTTTGGTGTGAGAAGTAGAGACGATTGCGGGGAAATTGCGATCGAGCGCGAGCGCCGGCAAGGTTTCGGAGCGCTTAGAACGGTATTATATTTGGAAGTTTGGGAGCGAGATAGGAGGGATACTAGTGGGTTGACGGGATGTGCAAGTCGACAGCGAGAGAGACTTGCAGGGCAAGGGGTAGGAGAAAATTCCGTCTGTCCAAGGGAGTCAGAAACTAGGAGGTTTTGAGGAACATACAGGGCAACAAGTCAAGTACGCCGCTAACGACAGATGGGATTGAAGTGCTGGCGGATTTGATAGTACTAATTCACTGATTGATGAGTGCACTAATAAGTTGTGTACAAGCTTAGGTACTAATGGAAGCCAACACCTCAGGCGTTGAAGGAGACAGGGCCGGCTGCACGGCCATCCAGGTCAAGGTCCGTAAAGAAGTGTCGGAGGAGAGCCGCCGTCAAGGTACATCACCGAGTCGGAAACGGCAGCGGAACTGAGCCCAGTCCGCGAAATTCCCGAAGGGCCTAGGCCAGGCACCGAAAACTCAATGATGTCATAATAGGCGCATGGATGCCAAGATGTACTTCGGCCCGTCGGACGG